GTGAGCGCCACTTGATTGCCTGCATGATTCTGAGCAAAAGCTAACTGACTGGCGCATCGTGATACCCATAGAATGACTCTTAAACTTCCAAAATTCCCAAGAACGATTATGTCGAAAGTCGTGGCTATGGTATCAGATCCACTGCATGCTGCCCTCCAATGCAAAGGTGATCAGCTTCCTTGCCTACTGGTACTGAGCCATCATTGAGGTTAAATGACAAAGCATACTGCTCTCATCTATCCTTGATGAATCAGAGAAAGAGCCCAGAATCAGCTTCTCTCCACAGAAGACTGATCAACTCGAAGCACCCAATCTCCTTCCAAATACTATTTATCCAAAATGTAAACGACTTCCATTTCACCTGTACAGGACCTGAGCCTATCTCGCTGCCTAAGCTCATATGCCTATGCCTATAGCTGAAACTCAGTTCAATATGTAACTTTAACTTCTAGCGAGCTAGCCCAGCAAATTTTAGATTGGCGGAACTCGTCAATATTCGTATAATTTGTATGAAACGCTACGTCAATTATAATGTAGGCTAAGGAGCCGGAAGCAGGATATTCCAGTCGAGACTCGATATGTATTGTAATTAAGGACCACATCCTATATGCGATATGTGAAGGTTCAACGAGGTTTCGAAATTACACCCAACCAGTTCCGGTAACGGCGACCATGTTCAGTGAAAGGTAGTGACGACGAGGTAATTAGGATTCGGCGGAGGAACACGTCATTTTCGAGAAAAAATATTATAATCATAAGTCAAGGCGGAATAACTACAACTTAATAGAATTTAAATAGTGCAATTTATCAACCACGCCGTACACTGTCATCTTTTGCTTTCTTTAGATGCCCTTTTTCTCTCTACCGGCTTTCGGATCAAGGATAGTGGTAAATTTTAAACAAATCGAAATTTTAGGGTAGAATAAAGTCAATATAGGGATTAATAATTGATACTCATGGGTGAAATGCACGAAGACAGTGTACTGGTGATTTTCCGTGATGTCATGTGGTGATGGTATCCACTTCCCAATTCCCAGATATCCCCAGAAAGACACAATTATTCCCTAATCTGACCAGTCTATTTTCAGAGCCATTCCTTGTTCTCACGTTTTCCATTGGAAGAAAACCCACAAGTGCGAAACGAAATCGATTAATCTTTTGTTTATATGTAAGAGGCTTGCGAGTTTCTTTGGCTCCGATAATGGCTTCAAAGTCACATACGTGATTTTTAGATCTAGTTCTCCCGAGACATCATCCCTTCCAAGCTCTGGGATCGGTTAGATGGTAGGACTCTGATCAATGACTTTAGTGCGGTGGATTTCCAAAAGACAGAAAGCACTGAGTTGTTACTATGAACTAGCAGAAGGAGGGATGGGGGCTGAACTTCGTGAGATCTTCCAGACGTAGGACTAAACGATCGCCTTGAAGGTTCGCACTTGAGCTCATTTGACAGATAATCAAAAAAGAATTGAAAAAAGAAATAGCGCCGAAAAGCGGGCCGGCTATTCGCTTACTGGTAATTAACCTTCACATTTGGCGAATACGTAGTCGGATCTACGGAGTTCCTTGGAGCAAAGAGTCAGAAAAAAGCTGCCCTCAATGTTTTTCTCCTATCAATCGAAACCACAAAATTTTGCATCCTATAGGTGCTATACTAAGATTACTGTCAATTGGTTCAGGAACAAAACTAACCTGGGATGGTTGTGTTTCAATTTTCCATCCATGGCCATGTTTCCATGCCCGAATTCCCGATTTGAATAACTGGATGGCGATGCCGTTATCCACCGTAATCAACAGGGTACGCGATACCTGCAGTTCTTGATCTTCGACAAGTCACGATCAAATCGCTTACGGTCACCTTGGAGCTGAAAGGGAAGCTTTATCATGGAAGGAACTTAGCACCTTTGTTAGGAAGCACCACCCAATTCTCTCAAGACAACACTATACAGAACTCATTATACAGTACCACCTACGTACCGTGCACAATATGCAAAACATCTGCCGCCCTACAACCTATCAGGTTCCAATGAAAGCTGATGGAAACACTTACTGCAGACAACATGAAGGATTGAAGTCAGTATAGGCCATACGCTTCCAACGAGACCTATAAACTAGAAAAAGCTCGAGGACATGGCGCGATCTGGGAAATACTGTCTATTCCTCATTCTACAATTCAGGTAGTATACTCGCTATAGGAAGCGATCCAAACCAATTTAACCAATTCACAAACATAAATAGATAAAAAAATTTATCACATAAAGATCACAACTGCCCTGAGATCCTCAAAACATAACAATAATGAATTAATTTACTTCTCTATCTATACATATCACAGCATGATTCAACCAAAGCTCATCAAAAAATGATTTCCTAAAGAATTTTCTTGCAAAAATCCTAACCTGACAAAACTTCGAATCAAAAGTACCCAAAATGATTATCATATAGTTAACAATAAAGAGAGAAATTTGAAAGGTCTTAAGCGCGGAGTGTAGTCACCCGCATTATATACCACAGCTGTCTCGTCAAGCCCAGCCAGATCGGTTTCCTGGACTTTTTTCACATCCATCGACTCCAAATAAGTCCGCAGGAACCGCTGGAATTTCTTGATTTTTTTTCTCATTGACCAACAATTTGTGTAACTTCGTAGTAACTTCCTCTATCAATCGTAATGAGCTCTGAAAAAAATTGTTTCCGCTTACCTGTAGGTCATCTCCACATTCAGACGGTGTCACAGACATTGGGCGAATACCATGGTAGAAAATTGTCAGAAGACGCCTGCCGTCATGGAGCGGTCGGACAGTTAGTAATTGTAGATCACAGGGAAGAGGTGGAATTTCGATGGATGTTGGAACAGAAGTGACATCTGAAATTCGGGAGCTGGGAAGATATTGAGCGGTATCTTTTGCTCCTCTCGGTTTGCGCCATGCACTTGACAACTTTTCAAATCCGTGGAAACACTGGAAGACCTATTCGAATTAGAGATACTCTACAATCATACAATCGTGTGGACTAAAGCCATCATCGACCTGATCTGCCTTCATCCCATCATTTGCTTCCGACAATAGCAAACAAATAGTAAACAATTAGACTACCTTTAGCTATTTAACATTCCTCAGTTGGCTAGGTAGACCAGCTTTAGCTAAGGTTCCCAGATAAATACCCTGAAGACAAAAGAGAATCTACTTACTCGAAGTAAAGAGCACTATGGGTGAGTAGATAGTGTTCTGCACTGATAGATGTCCAGCCGGTGTATGCACTGTGTAATGACTATAGTCCAAATCGGTCTGAACAAACACGGTGTTCAATCAGATTTTGCACATAGTTTTAGATTCAAAAGTTTTATAAACCCTCCATTGATGGGAAGCCGCTTCGCAACGCGGTTTAAGTAAATTCAGTTCCTCGTGAAGACGACTAGATTTTCATATACCAGACCCACCTATGGAATATAGGAAGCCTTAGAATCCTACCACAACGTAAAAAGGAATCAAGATAGTCTTCAAGGAAAGCCCGAATCGAAGGTGGACTGTCGCAGTAGGGAAAATCTCTCCTGCGTCCCTGTCGTCACATTCCAGGATGCCATGAAGTAGCATACGCCACATATTAAGAAACCCATTGAATCCCTTTTCTATGTGGAGCTAGTTCAGGCAGTCCTTCTTGCCCAACATCTGATTCCTTCCCTCCCCCTTGAGATGACAGCTTCTTAACTCAGCTTCCCTTATACCCAAAAAGTCACTTAGTCATGATTACGTGAACACATAGTTAAGGGTAGCCTATTGATTACCTGTTTAAGATCCTCTAGAAGAATGGTGAACTTCATGTCGACCGGAAGATTGTCATCAGGGATTGCATCTGGTTCCCTTCCAAGACCATGACCATCATCCGAACGGATTATTCTTTCTGTAAATAAACAACATGAAACCGTTCTCAGATATATTTCATGGGCAATGGTAATGGAAAAAAACAAAGTGGTATAAAGAATTAAAGCAGTGGGGAAACTTGTGAATTCGATGAATTTCAGCCCATGAATAATCCCCATCAGTCAGAGCGCTATGCATATCATACACAGAGTCGGGTTTACCAAACCCATAATCTGACTACTTGGCTCCTTGTGGCCCTGTACTCTATGGGTTTACCCTTGAACTGGCAAAGTTGGGTCAGAAGACACCACTGGGGTAAGTCGGCCCTGGAACGACCTCTTCCGTAGCAGCTCTCATGCATTGCCGCTAACTGACTGAGCTTTTTTTGTTTCCCTATTCATGACATTCTTTTTCATCTCCATTTTCACAAGAAGAGAAAAAATTAAGGAAATCCACAAAATGGGAAGAGCGCGTGGCTCAACAAACTAAAAGTATCGCTCCATTGTTGGCGAGGGACTACAGGGCAAATGCAAAACGTCCACGCTGCGGAGAATTCAGTTTCATTGGGATCACTTGAGCTCGTCGAGCTTAGTGACCTAGTTTCAAAGCGGTTACCGCATCAGTTCCTCCTGACCCGAACCTCTCCATGCCTGTAGCGCATACTACTCTGTGTGGGACATCTCCTCTTTGTGGAACACCACCAAAAGACAATCAGTAGAGGCAAATGGAACCTAATAGGTCCCCGTCGATCATAGAAGCTATTGCGGCAGGCTCTGATTAACTTCACCTCTGACAACCTTGGCTCGAGAAGAGAAGGATACTGCCGTGGAGCTTTCGAAAATTCATTTCCGTAATCATGGTCGCTAATGAATGAAATATAATACCTAGCAGCTACAAGATAGATGGCTTCAATATGAAGTCTGAATTACTTCAAGACATACTAAGTTCTCACCGATTATGGCTTCAAAGTTTGAGCCTTCCATCCTGCATCCATGTGGAATATTGCTGGAGACTGTGATTCGGACATCATTATCCTCAATGACAGCCGACGTTGGCATTGGGAAAAAATCATTCGCTTTCCTACGAAGCAGCTAAAATTTTTCTATTGCCTATACGATGGTTTTATTGATTGGCACATAATCTTTCCAAATTAAAATTTTTTCTGCACTATAAAATCGATCTTGCGCACAACTAGCCGTTCATAGTCACTTAGAACACTTATTTTTTACCAATTATATTTATATAGCAGAGTACGGGGAAATTATGGAGTGGCCAATGGCGCACTCTCACTGACGCATGGTCCGGGGATCGAACCTTGGCTCGGTATTAGCCGAGGCCTACCAAGCATTCCATCCTTCCAAGATCGATAAGGTGGCACCAGACTCGTCTGGGGGGATAAAACCACTGAATGTACGTCGGCTACACACCCAAAGTCATTATTTGTCCCAAGTGCGCATTCAATGGGTTACTACAATTTCGAATAGAAGCTGGATAGGGGGCGCATCCCNCCCGAAACGCAACCGACTAATGCCGGAAACCTCAGAACTTTGTTTTTCGGAAGTAACAATAAATAAAGATCCACCTGAATCCCTAAACTATCCGTGTAAAAACTCGGGAATGACATTTTCGTACCAAAACCAAACGCAAACTCCTTATTCGATCTCTGCTTGTGCTCGAAATGGACATCGATATGGAAGAAATAATTCAGTTGGTCGCCGAGGACACCTAAACTACCATATTCCATCAGTTGGAATAATTTTAGGAATAAAATGAAATTCCAAAAAAACAGAATAAAGAAGGCAAGGAAAATTCATACAAACCGGCCACATTTTTTAAGGTGAGGCCACTATAGATACCCTCCGCGAAGATATGAGCACTCTCTTGAATGGCTCCTTTGACAACCATGACGTTTGTTGGCGGTCTTTGGGCGAAATACTAAAAAAACTCAAGATAACTCAAGATAATCTACAAGATAGTAAAGAGCACATTATCGATCTTGATCTAAGGCTACGCCACGCATTCATCTTATTTTTAGAATAATAACGGAACTAAGTTATGCAGTACAAAGTGAGGAAATTTTATGCACATGAAGGAGTGTTTCCAGTTAACTCGGTCGATCCTCGTCGCTGTTTATAAACCCTTACACCTTATGCTTATACTTATAATGGGTGAAGGGGAACAAATTCAAAAAAGGTCGTCTAAAAAATCGAGCAACATTTTCTCATCTTGCCTTTTTTATACACTAGTTTGAGGTCCCCTAAAACTTGCATTCCATCGGCTGAGCTTTAGCGAAGCTCAAATGGGAGTTGCCTGAATGATAAACCCCTACTAAAAAACGCTCCTGTTTCCTGGGGTTGGCGATTTGTGGGCAAAACTCCAGTTTGCCCACAAGTTTGCCCACAGTTTTGCCCACAAATTGCCGACCTTGTGAGACTTTCGCTTCGCGTACTGCGGCGATAAAACAGCAGTTAACAATACATCAAGTCAAAACACAGTCATTTTATTACAAAAAATTTGCTATTTTTAATAGGCAACAAGCTTGGAAATTGACAAACCTCCTGGGGCTGATCATGGATAGACATCTCATATGCTCCACCAGAGGAAGGATAAATAAGAAAAGTTGGACGTAAATAAAACTCTTTTTTGTTTTTCCGTATCACACCCTAAATAAGAGTGCCCATCAAGGTTTGTGAATTCGACAGATTGGAAGGAGAAATGTTCACTCACCGTAACCATTCCATTTGTTCCATTGTGTACCGTAGTGATCGAGCTGCTACGCAACTCAAAATCTTCCGTACCCAAGTCGGTAATTTGGAAAGCGCTGAAAGATATTCCAATCCAGAGAATCTCAGTTAGTGAAAGCTTATCTATTTTGTCATATCTAGGAAGAAAAACACCCAGGAGAACATCGCAACAAAGATGAGCCCAGTAGGAGCATGGTAATTGTCGAAGGCGCCCACCACAGTTCCTAATTCACACCGCTGAAAGTCCTGTTATTCCTATTTCACCACTATTATTAATCATTCTATTTATTAAGTATAACCTTAAAATACAATGTCCCACTGAAGGGCCCCGTAACAAGAAAAGTGATGAAGGAAAGTAGGAGTGGAAAGGGCGATGGAGCATGCACCAACTCTACTTTCAAGGTCTTGGCAACCTTGAAAACAACCCTTATGAAACTGTGAGTCTACTGTAACCATCATGAAATCATATGCCACTTCTAGCGGGAAATGCGCCTACCGTACTATACAATCAGGAACTGCCTACCGTAATCAATATTGATCGATGTAGGGACATTAGCCGTGAATTCAGTTCTACCCAGCGAAAACCAAGTGCTACTTCTATTATTACGAGAACTACAAGTAGTAACTGCATGCCTACCGTACCATGCAACTAGGGCCTATGCCTACCGTACCCAATAATATTGATCAGTCTACGGTACCTGTTCATCCCTGCAACCTTCGCCGGCACTGAAGCACTGATCGTAGCCAATTTCGTAGTCGTTTGGTTTTTATCAAAAACAAGCCGATAGAATGCTATACCAAGAGGTTGAAGACGAACGTGAAACACAAGCTGCAGAACGAATAAATTGGACCACTAGACGATGGCGATCGATTATCGATTAATAAACTCACAGAAAATGTTTTGCTGTCAATTTTTCCATTACGGATATACGGTTCAATCTGTGCTTCAACAGACCCTCCATCCAATTTCACATCAATCGTCGTACAATCAACTCTTACGCTTATCACATCTTCCAGATGATAAGGGAGNNTGTTGATGATTTTCAGCGTCCTAAAAGAAGGGATTAGGTGCGTTGCGAGAAATTTCGGGTATAACTCTTACAGATCCTTTCCCTTTGTCAGACTCAAAACCTTCAGAGTCGTTGTGTTTGTGTTTGACATATAGTATTCCACCTAAATTGGGAATTAAATGAACATTGAAGATCAGCATTCGGAAAGAACAATGAGCCTGTGTTTCCCAGTCATTCTCCTGTGATGTGCCATGCAATGAGCCTTCGTTCGGAAATTTCAAATAATTTGATTGTGCACCAACATTCCAAGAGCACCAATGCATCCTGGGAACCTTTCAAAGTCTGTTTAAGCACGTTCTAAGGTCTAATAAATGTTCAGAGCATGGCCTGATTCTTGTTTGTTCACTTCAAAAGTTCCTGTAGCTTCTAGCTATTCATTTTGTCGCTGAATTATGTTGAAAAAGGTTCTGATAATGTTTTCAAAATTTTGAGCGATCGAAACAAGCCCAGACGAAAGCGACCATTCTTCCATCAAGCAATTGGGCGATCAAAATAACCCCACATTTTTGAAAATTATCCAAAAGTTGTCCGAAATTCGTCTAGAAATGCAAGGAATTTTTTTACCATCATGCACATTCCGACTGCCGTAGAAGTACAGGAAATATTTCCAAACTTTTTTTCCAAATACAAATTATAATTTTCGCTTTACACGAGACGATTATCACTTTGAGATCGTTTTTGAAGTAAGTAAAACGCCTATGAAAATAATAAAACATCGATTTGCTTATTGACTAGATCCTGTCAACTAATGTATAAGCGGACTACCTTACGATGCGTTCACGCTAACAATACTAGTCGAATGCAAGGCTCATCACTCGAGGAATTGATAATTCTAATCTTTTGAACTCCAAATATCATAGGCAATCCTCACCATCTCACTTGTAGAATCATCGATTGCTCCAAATGACGACTCAATCACCGAACTTGCCAATAGAGTTGCATTGTGCAGCTGCTCAGAGTAGTCCCTGTGCACATGCTTTCTGCTAGTACCTGAAATAGATAGTCACAGACAGAAACAACCAATACTACCTTAGTAAGGCAGTCCCCAACAGGTTGCACACCTACGTATTCCGCCCAAAAAGCCGGTCATGGCCCTCTATTGGAAAGAAGAAATCAGAAAGCGAAATTGAACATCTGGTACAAGTCTATCTATTCACAGGTGAAGCCTATGTCAATGACTTCTCCACATACGAGATGAAGTCGTGCTAGCTCCTGGAGGAGGATTTGTGATTTCTTCGTAATTTCATCTCCTCTTCTTTCCCTCCAGTATCCTGTCGCCAACACAAAAAAAAACTCAAGAAATAAGCTGATAGAGAGGGGTCTGAAGAACTTTCCCTCCAGATCTATCTTAAGTTAAACTGACAGAATCAGTTGGCGCTGAAAAAAAGCAGCAGAACAATCTGACGAAGGAGAAGCTCGTTCAAAAACGAAACCTCCCGACCATTTTTCACATAAAAGTTACTAAATGAAGGCAAACGTATAAACGAGGGATTGAAAAGAAAGTAAAGTAATGGATACCAGTTATGGCGTCATGGTGTTGAAACAGAAGCAGAGCTCGGCGTGCTTTGTCCAGCATAACCGTATTGTTCGAGGTCTGTTCGACCGCTTCGACTTGAGCAGACAGCAGATCGGCAGCTCGTAAGAGCCACTGAATCGGTGAGTGAATCCAAATAAATTCCACGATCATTCGACTAATTTCTGGTATATATCAAAAAAGGTGGACCAGTTCCGTAAACTGAGATCTACTTGGTTATGTAAATCTGCTGAAGTCATACACCTCAGCGCGAAGAAAAACTGCCAAGAAAAGAGTTTTCTTTGCCTACTCCAATGTTCACACGATAGACATTCGCCCCGCTTTCCTACATATTAGTTGAAGAGGTTCGAAAAGACCCACGTGGAGGCGTCTTTCTTGAGCTTTGTAGAACGGCCTGGTTGAGTAGTAACCTGACCACGAACCTACGTCGTGCAATCTGGAAAACAGTTCTGAGGCTCCCTATCTCATCACCAAATACTATTTTCCAGCCAGTATGCACTCTGCTTTCCATATTTCTCAAATCAATGAATCAAAGAGATTTACAGGAGCTGCTACGCGCGGTCGCGTCGCAGTGCTGAAAATTCACCCAAAGTTGATAGCTGCTAATATGCTATTATATTGAAATGACTGAAAACTGCTCTGCTTTGCTGGAAAAACTTTCAAAATGATTTCTAACACATATGAAGAAAAGCTGAATGTTCTAAGTATATTTTACGAATTTATTTATTTATTTATATACTGCACTCATGGTGCACCAAAGCACTATTTTGAATTTGAGCTATGATAGAACTCAATTTCAACTGCATACCTATATGGGAAAAAGTCTCCTTTGAGAGTGGGTGGCTGCGTTCCATTCTGTGCATACCAATCTTCCAATTCGTCGAAGAATCTCGTAATGGTGCCAAAACTAAAATGTGTGATACATGAAAAGGAAATATAAAAAGAACTTAAAGATTCCAGTATTTATTGAAAAGTGCAATGTGCAATGGTATTACATAGCGGCCATCAGATACCCTGATCTTATAATTTTAAACAAACTGTAAGAGTAGCCACTATTTCTTCGTATGTATCAGATTCCAGTGTGAGAAAAAAAGTGAATTTTTTTCAGATACCTCTCCATGACCCACACCATAGGAGAAAAGCCGGACCAACTTATCCATCACTGAACCCAGGTCCGGATGTAGTGGACGCGACATACCCAAATAAATCAGCAATCGCTCACAATAATGTATCTCCATCCAGAGAGCATTACCAGACTAACATCGGAGGCAAGCTCCCTGTCTCCGGCGTAATGAAAATTTTGAACATTACATTCCCGAGAATTCAAACTGCCACTGCACGCGTCTCTACTTTCTGATAGCTTGGTGAGCGGGCAACTGCCTCTCTGCGTTGGAATACCTGCTAAATTTCTAGACTAGCTCGTACTTCTTCCGGGAAATTCGGTAAGCTTTCATAGAAATACTACAGAAGGACACTATTTTCTTGTTTGTGCTATCATATCGTGATTACATCGTNACATACTTAGAAGGTGCTCTAGAGTTCTTTGACCCAAGTTTGAAAAGGTTCCAGTGCGGAGTAGCTGGATTCGAACTCATGTAGAAGTACTGGTTGAAGATCGGTGGAGGGTTCCGTCATTATATGGTTCAATGGGCAAAGAAGACGTAGCCTATATAGCCTAGATATTTAATTATTTATGAGCGGGTAGAGCGTCCTTAGATAGAAACCCAACTGAAGTTTCCGGTCAGTCCCGGCAAAAATCTGGACTAGGCAAAATTTTCGGCACATACAATCCCCACAACCGAATAGAATTCTTCCCCAAATGCCATACATAGAAAGCTACCTTAACCAATATTTAAGTTGCATTGTAGTTTTTTTTCTCATTTGATGATGCGCAAGTCACAAGGTTGTCGAATTGTAGTTAAAACTTTTGCCTCTGGCTACTTTTACACCAGTACTTTAAGTTTTGCACACAACTCGATTCAAGCTAGATCATTTCAGAATCGTTCTTCTTTGCATGGCATACGTATCACGACTGATTGAACGATTACCTGATTTCTATGTTGCCCTTGGAATTGATTTCATCGAAAATAAGGCGAAGAGCATCATATTGAACTTTCCATTCGAACGGTGTCGTGAATCGGAAATCATCACCATAGAACATAATGATAACATTCGACCCATACTGTTCCGACATTTTCCATAACTGAGTGCTGAGTGCGTCGGCTCTGAAAAAGGTAAACGGTAATCCAAGCTTGGAAACTGTCTTCATTCCATTAATTCAGCAAAAAAAGGACATTTTGTCAGAGTGCCTGCTCCACAGAGCATATACGTAGGCTGCCTTTTATATTTTGAGATTTGGGAAAAGAAACAAATATCATTTATTGAAAATCGCTTTATTGCCTTTCAAAATTCTCCACATTAAGAACTATACACTGTTGCTTGGGCTCGAACCAATTTTCGTAGCACTTTTGCCACTCTGATGTAGGTAACTCTAAAACATGGAT